TGGTCATCCCAGCTCGCTTAATCCTGAACAGTTATCTCAGAATTCGTACACCTAAAAGTTATGGACAGCTCATCCACAGTGTTCTGCGTGACAAGAGCGAGCACCAATTAAACACGAGGCAATTCATATGCAGAATAGAGGAAGTAGTGTCGATGCTCTCTCGCTTTTCATAGACAGAGTGACGAGCAGTCTAGATCTTGATAAGCGTGGAGTGAGGACAACGTTTTTTGGCCTCTCTTCGGCGTTCAAAATAAGACCGGATAGACGGATGAATTTTTTGAAGACGTTGTCAGTGCTGCCAAATCTTTTCGCGGGGCAATGCAATTATTTCTCAACACGATCAAGGTACTCTGCGGTTACTGACAAAGCGTCTAAGCATAAGAAAACAACCTTGAGGTGGTGCAGAGTTCAGTCATTTCATTTCCGTCGTTGAAATTGTGCATCAACGCTAATTGCACAGAAGAGCACATAGCAAACATTAAATTCGCCGACCACGTGACAGTCATATCATACATCAAAACTCTGGATGATATGAATATCTATTACATTACAGTGAACTGCACAGAATAGTTTGCTCCCAATTTCGGTCTCGTTTGTGATGCAGGGCATTCATTGTGCGGCTCTTCAATTGCAGCAAAATGCAAATGTGACAATTCAAAGTGAGATTTGCATCGGGATATCTTCAGATCTAAATTGATAGCTCACATCTAAGTAGTCTTGAAGACGGTGTGCAGAGCGACCTGCCGTCTCAAATGCTTAATCAGTTCCGAGGTACCCCTGAAAATAGATCAAACGTTTGTTGTATCTTGTATACTACCGCTGATTGCCTATGCTAGGTCAGTAGTTTCTCCATCACCGAGTAACGCCGACTTACTGCCCCCTCCCCTCCCGTGCGCAGCGCCTTTTACGTAGTACCAAAAATCAGTCACGTGAATTTCGAAACATTGACGAAACGGGTCATTGATCAGAAAATACTTTTCAAGTCTCAAGCATAATGAGGCTACCGGCAACAAAAATGACGATGATATCGATGGAATCTTCCTCAGATCCTGGAGAAGTCAGAGAGAAAATATTTTTGATTTGAAATGAAACTTTTAGATATATTTAGTAGGAAAATTAAGACCAACCGTAGCCTGAGTCCAAGCTTCCTTAATGTTTGATTCTAAGAACCTTTGGATGCTGTGAATGCGTTTGTATTCTGCATTAATAGTGCAAAGAATTCGAAAGATGATCGCTTGAAACGCGCTTGTCCGATTGGAAACTTCATTTGCAATGCGGCTCCACTAAAAGTAGTTTTTTTCAGTGAATTGCTCTTTAGACATCTCTTCACATCCTTGAAACAGCTGAAGCAAAGACTTAAACGAAACACAACATTTAATTTATTCATATGGCTTAAGATAAACTTACCAATCAACAAAGATCATAACAAAATGCATTTCTGTAAAATAGAAAACAACAAATCACAGAGGTAGAAAGGCGAATTCGATCTTGATGAATACATTGTGATCAACGTGGCGGGGGAATTTCACACTAGCATTGAATTCGCTGACCATTTTTTAGGACATCCTTTTTCAGATAAAGAGCATGACGAGGTCAGCTGTGATGTGCTGCGCTGTTACGTTTCTGGCTCGACCAAACCTGCATCCTGTGCCATTCCGAAGAATATTGAAGTCCTATTTGCCAGAAGATTTGCTGGTGAATCGAACTCGGCGATCTGACCATGGTCCAAAACCAATACCCTTAAAGAAGAATAAAATCATAGTATAAAACGAAGGATCTCTTTCCAGGAAAAATGCAACAGTTGGTTGACCAAATTGTCGTTGAAACCCACTATACAAGCAATATTTATAATGTCCATAATATGATAACAAATCAGCAGCATTGCTGGTTTTTCAAGTAGTAGATCACAAGGTTGGCATATGACGGTATGAACGATTTTCTTTTGAAATCTGAATCTGCCATTCTGTTCCATATAAGTAATATTGAAATTGTCCAAATTTATCAATGCAGAAACCACATTTGTGGCACATTCTCATTGGCCAACATGTCTTCAGAAAGATCACAGGATATGAGCAAAAGAAAAAATACATAATATCCTATATTTGATAGGATAGCATGTATGTAGGTTTTCACACAGAGTTTTCGCGAATGATGAGATCATAATTTGCTTGAACAGCTCTACATCTATAGAAATATTCTACGTTTAAAATCGTTAACTACCTTAAGTATGGCGGCAAGATTGAGCATATAGAATCCAGAATGGTAATTGGTCTCTACAGTATCGAGTAGGTTAGTTTTACCACATTTTCGCGAAGTCTATCCCTAAGTCTAAACTTTAGGCCAATCTCCTGCAGATTGAAGTCTACGCTGAAGCTTAGGTGGTAACGAGGGGAAAACGACATACTACCGGTTCTGAATCACGGTGAAACTATCAGCTTCAGTGATTAATGACTCAGTGATCACCCCTTTGAACCTTAACATTTTATTCAGCTGTTACGGTAGCTGGTAACTGTGATAGTCCGTTATGAACCGAGAGACAGCCAGTTAATTAGGCAGAGCTAGCATAGCTTACTTGCATTTTCTATCTAAGAAAAGCGTCTGGACTAAAAACTTGGATGGAGAGATTGGGTGCCACAGTAAATATTTTGTCATTAATACGGCATAAAGCCTAAGCCATATTTCCCTGTGTGCTGCACCGCCCCTTGCTTGGTGTTGCCTAGGGAGGCTATTTAAGCAGATCATGGATCCAAGGCATCTGCAAACCTGTAGTGCCTGATGCATGTCGAAATATGGTGGTAGAAGAGTTATGCGTTATGCCTTATCTTAGGTACTCCTGCGTACAAACATATTTTGATGCTAAAGAAGAGATGTGAAATAATTTCATTTGCACCTACCACCTGAATGAAGAATGATGATTCGTGGACAAAGACGATGGTAGATAAGAACGGCGAATGAATTGTACCAGGAAGTGAAGAAGAGTTTTTTAGAACAATTTTCCATGAACTGAATTATCTGAATCCTTGATATTTGGTGAAAAATAATTCTTAATTTGTACAATTTTCTGTGGTGTTATTATCTATGCAAAAGCGGGTCAGACATTCGCTATTGTAATCCAATATGCGAGTTATATGCTAACTTTATCACTTTGTTAAACAATAAGATGGTCATTAAAATCCACTAAAGAAGTCACAGCCAGAAAACCATTCCTGTGATGAAAATGACACTTCCCCTCCTATACAGCACATGTCCGATACAGCCGCTAATTTTGTTTCACCTTTTTGACCATAGAATAGCGAAACCGACCGTTTATATAAATTTATTAATTATAACCTAATATATTAACCTGTTCGAATCCATAATCGTGTTTAGGCGATGCGCGATCGTTAGAATTGTGCAATCAGCGAAGCACTGTCTAATCGTCCTTTGTATCAGGTCGTCTGTCTTGAGATCAACAGCGGCTGTAGCTTCGTCCAGAACGATGACCTTTGTTTTTCGAAGCATTGCGCGAGCGAGGCACATCAGTTGGCGTTGGCCGACGCTGTAAGCAATTCCTCATTTCGGTTATGGCTGTGATATTTACCTAAAAGTTTCAAGACATTCGTACCTTAGGTTTTCCCCTCCTTCTAGAATATTGTATTCCAGCTTTTCCGAGAGGCCGGCAACGAATTCCTTCAAATGAGCCGCCTCCAAAGCTCTCCATATCTGCAGATCGCTTTTTTCCGAGTAAGGGTCAAGGTTCCGCCTCAACGTCCCGCAGAACAACATTGGCTCCTAAAATGTTTTTCAAATCTACACACGTTCGATGAATAAGCACTGATTGAAATGGATCACGAAAAAACTAGAAATTTCTTTCGCATTTATTCGCACTAAGCGTCATACCTGAGGAATTATGGTAATCTTTGTCCTTAGCTGGTGCAGCCCAATCGAAGATATTTTGACATCGTCGACAATTATATCTCCGTCTGCTGGTTCAACGATGCGAAATAGAGCAAGAGTCAAAGAACTCTTGCCGGCCCCCGTTCTTCCAACGATTCCGATTTTCTCTCCTCCTTTGATGCAGCAGTCAATGCCTTTCAGCACCAGATCCAGACCTTCTCGATAACGCAGTGAATAATTAACGAACTCAATATTTCCCGTCTTGGGCCAATCCTTCGGTAGAATGACACTGGATTCCCATTCCGCCTAAACGAACAATTTAAACAATAATGCTGAATGGTTTATTTGGCAAGGTTAGACAATTTCTGGAGAAAATTGAACATGACTGCCATCAAGTTTGTATAAATATTCATGTCGGTGTAGCAAAAATGTTTCCAAACAAATAGAAATAGGTCATGATAAGTAACTAAGACAAATCAGTTATAAAACCTGCAACAAACAGTCACAATACTCGAATAAAAATAGTAGACACAGGTGGAAATCTGCCATGACTATCATCGTTACCAAGCTAAGCAGGAATAATATAAACGACGTTGCCAGTAGTAATTACGCGAAAAAGATTATCCATGATTTTGATGATTCAAACCAAACGCTATTCTCATATTGATGACCGTAATTTGAACCAGTAAATCAGCCTACATTATTTCTACTAGCCTATGAACTTGATTGGAATTTTGCTTTGCAAAGCTGTTAGCAATGACTGATAGGTATTTTATTT